AACAAAACTAGCTACTTTTCCTTTGTCCCCAGACCCAGGAATGAGTTTTCCTGATCCAGTAGGGGTGAATACAGGAAGGGACCAGAGAATTCTGACCTACAGGGACTTGTGATGGTTAATATTAAGTGTCAACCTGATTGAATTGAAGGATGCAAAGTATTGTTTCTGGGTATATCTGGGTGTTTCTAGGTGTTGCCAGAAAAGATTCACATTTGAGTCAGCAGACTGGGAGAGGCAGACCCAACCACAATGCGGGTGGACACCATCCCATCAGCTGCCAGTGCAACTAGAAAAAACCAGCAGAAGAAGGCAACAGAAGTAGACCCGCTGACTTTTCCAGACTTCATCTTTCTCCTATGCTGGATCCTTCCTGCCCTGGAAAATCAGACCCCAAGTTCTTTGGCTTTTGGAGTCTTGGACTTAGACCAGTGGTTTGCCCGGGGCTCTCGGGCCCTTGGCCATAGACTAAAGGCTACACTGTCAAACTTTCCTACTTTTGAGGTTTTGGAACTCTAACTGAGCCACTACTGTCTTCCTCGCACCTCAACTTGCAGACGGCCCATCTGGGTCTTCATCCTGTGATCGTGTGAGTCAGTTCTCCTTATATGAAAGTTCTCCTTTCATATATACATATATCCTGTTACTTCTGTCCCTCTAGAGAACCCTAATAAAAGATCCCATGACCCAAATGTCCCCAAGTCCACACTTTCATATTTCCTCCCTCTCTCTTCTTATGCTGGCACATCACTGTGTACGAAGAGAGAACTGGGCACATTTTACACAATAGGCCCGACATGATTTCCCCAAAGCCACAGAGACAGTCTTCAGATCGGCACCTGGGTCCAGTATCCTGTTCCCCATCCCCGGAGCCCTTCATCTCTCTTACCTCTTTGTCTGAGAAATCCCACCCCCGTGGGCAATTTCTTTATTTTATTTAACAAATACCTTAGAGTACCTACGCAGGGCAGTGTTCTAAGAACTCCTACGTCCATTATCACATGTAATCCTCATGACACCTTCTGAGGGAGGTAATTCTACATTCCTGTTCCCAGATGAGCCAGCTGAGGCCCCGAGAGGTTTGATCATGTTCAAGGTCACAGAGTTGGGACAAGGTGGGGCCAGAATTCAGACACAAGCATCCTGGCTGCAGTTATCTCCTGCCCTGAACTGGAACCAAAGGGTGGGAACCTGTGAGGAGGAAGACCTCGAAGACGTGGTTTTCTTTCTGTGATATCCCAGGGTCATGGGTGACGTCAGTCCAAGAAGAAGGAATCCAGATCCCATCGCATAACACAGTACTTGGCCCTTGAGAATCCTTTTCCTTTTTTGGTCTGTTTTTCAGATTTTCTCCCTTCTCTGAAAGGGGGAGGATTAAGGATTTTCCCTCATATTTTTTTAAATAAGTACAAATACTTCAGTATTAAAGTACTTAAGCATCCTGGCTCTGCAAAGGCAAAGGGCTCTTGAGAGGTAAGTGAGTCATTCCTCATTACACGGTTTCTTCCAAACGCTCGGGTTTGCTGCCTTCAAATGGGTCCCTGGGCACCCACTCCAGGGTGACAGGTTTCCTCGGGTTGCTTCTGCTCCTGAGGGGGTCCCTGCCTTTTATTTTCTTGTTTTGCTTGGATGCCACTAACTCTTTAGCAGTGTGTGTGGGGTCGGGGGAGGGGGTGAGTGTAGGTTAAATGTATTTCTCCAGCAATCTGGAAGTTAGCTGAGGGTCAGGAAGGGAACGTCATGTGTCAAAATGGCAAGTTAGCCAGATGGACCCAGGGACTCCTGCTTGCCTGGTACCTGAGCCTCTTCAGCACTGCTCATGACGTTGTGGCACCAGGTGCCAGCAAGGCCACGACCCACCAGCACTCCAGGTGTGGCCATATAGCCTGAACCAGATGCAGGTCGGACTCCAGCTCTACCCCTTGGGATGGCCCTGTTTCTCAGCCTGGCTGTGCTAATTCTCCCACCCCTGAAATGAGTTAAAATAAAACCAATGTACAGAGCTGCAATTAGGATAAAATCAGGTCACACATGTGAAGAGACTTCTTTACATGCAAGGGACCAAGCTCCTAGCTTACCACCATTATAATACTTACATGGAGGAAAAATGGGCACTAAAAAGTGATAACACATGCCAAAAATATGGATGAATTTCATCAATGTGTAATAAAATTACACCTTGATTGACCAGATTACAGGGAGTGCCAACCCCCCACTGTTCAATGTGAAGGAGACCGGGTGCCACCCACCACCCCACCCTCCCTAAGCTGGAGTGGCAGGGGCTGCAGGTGAGCAGTGGCAGCTGCACAGACATATGGCCAGGCCTGGCTACTGCACCCGGGCTAGCACTGGCCCCTCCTCTCGACTCCGGCCCAGGATGCACAGCTAGCAGAGAACAAATCAACGTCCCTGTAAAGCCCTGGCCACCTCTCCGAATAAAGCAAGGATGCTCTACCACATCCTCTGTCCCAGGAGCCTCTTGGTTTCTCTCCTCATAGCTCCCCATCCTGCCCTTGAATGGGGGCATATAAGGAAAGAATAAACCAAGCGTTTTCTGGTTCCATTTGTCTGTGCATGGAAATTTCAGAGTGCTACACTAACTCCCATAGCCACTGGTCACATTCTCTTGCCACCAACTTTGCCCCATGTACATGCAAGGTGCTAGCAAGACGGTGAGGAGCAGGAGCAAATGCAGTGCACTCTCTCCTGGGACTCTCATTCTGGTATGGGAGACCAGCCATAGAAGGTGTAAGACATATTCCAGCAGGAGAGCTGAAACTACACATTCACTGAGTACCTGAAAGGCCTGCAATAACCCCCATGTCACATAATACGTATATAATAATAATAAATCCTTTTTTTGAGACAGAGTTTCACTCTGTCACCCAGGCTGGAGTGCAGTGGTGTGATCTCAGCTCACTGCAACCTCTGTCTCCTGGGTTTAAGCAATTCTTCTGCCTCAGCCTCCCAAGTAGCTGAGACTACAGGCACCCGCCACCACGCCTGGCTATTTTTTAATATTTTTAGTAGATATGGGGTTTCACCATGTTGGCCAGGCTGGTCTCGAACTCCTGGCCTCAGGTGATCTGTCCGCTTTGGCCTCCCAAAGTGTTGGGATGACAAGCATGAGCCACCATACCGGATCACACGAGCTAATCTTATGGCACCAACAAAGCAGATAGGAGCCTAATGCCATCAAAGTGGTGGCTTCTTTTCTATGTTAATAACATTTAATGTAAACAAATGTAAAGATTTTTTTAGTTGTTTTTTCATGACTGCCTAATTTGTTGATCTTTGGCTTAAGTGTTCATGGCATTATGGTGAGGAAATCAACTCCTGCTGAGGTCAATAATTCATTCACTCATCTATCATTCTACAATTTTTTTCAAGTTGAGCCTTATGAAACGACTGACTGTGCAAGTCAAAACAGGCAAACACTAACAACTTCATCTGCTTCAGCAAACTGAGAACCAGGGCCAGGCACTGTGCTGAGTGCGGAGACTTCCAACCCAGCAGACAGCCCTCCTCTCATAGAGCTTAGATCCTAAAAGCGGAACAAAAAGTCACCAAGTAAACAAATAAAGGCAAACCAGCATTTTAAAGTGTGATAAGAACTATGTCGAAAAGGAGACCAGGCAATGAGAAGGAATTGTGACCACCAGGAAGGGAGGCGTGGGCAGGAGGTCAGGGAAGTTCTCTGGGAGAAGACGACATAATGACATTTCAGCTGAGATGTGAATGATGGCACATGATCAGCCATGTGAATGTCTGTATAAAGTCAAGACAGCCAGGATAGAGAATCCCAGTCTGCAACCCCCAGTCTGGTCAGCCCAAGGCTACCAGTCACACTGGATCAGCAAAATGAGGTCAAAGTTTCCACACCCACCCATACCTTGACAAAGGAAACTAATTCAGGAGCCCTCAAAGGCTCGATCAGTGGTTTTTTATGTTTGTTTTTTGTTTTTTCCCTTCAAACACACCAGGTCTCATTCTACAGCTAGCATAATAAGAACAGCTTCATTATTTCATTCACTAAATTATGCTATATTAAAATTTTAATTGGCGAACATAACATTGGTAAAACGAGTACATCCACATGCTGCTGTTGCCAGTGTAAACTGTCAAACCATTTTTTTGCAAAAGCAATATTGCAACACAAAGAAAAATCCATAAATCATATTCTTGGCCTCCCAACTCTACCCCCAGGGAATTTATCCTAAGGAAATAATCTGGTTCAATAGAATAAAATGTTCTCTCCAGAAGAACTCCATGAAGCTGCTAATTGTTACATACACAAAGGAAAGAAAAAACAAAACACCTGGAATTATCCAAATGACTGCAAATGGGGGGTTTTAACAAAATAGGATAATTCATTTGATGAGAGAGCATACGATCATTAAGCATCACAACAAAGATGACAAAGTTTCAGAAAGAAATGGGATATCCAGCTTTTTGAGAGAAGTAGAAAACAATGTGCATATTTTAATGGAAAGCATGTAAACAGTATCTCAAGGTGAATAAGAACAAGAAAATTGAAAAGAATTGAATCAAGGCCAGTGGGGTGAGGAATTATTTATTTCAAAAGTCCTTCCAAAATATTGTCATTGTACTGAGTTCTCATTTTTTAAGAAATTCCTCAGAAACAATAGTACGAGAACACTGCCATAGCGTGCCACCCAAATACAAGGACATTTGTTCATTCTAACTTTAAATACAAAATCAGACCAAATTTGAAGATGCCTTCTGTGTTATATATTCCACAGTCTTTCACGTATGGCTCCTGTATGTGAAACTCGACTTGGAATAGCAATGCAATGTTGCATGATTTTACAATAATTTCTCCTGTTTGGGGAGTTTGTGTTGGGGAGGGAGGCCAGAGTGACTAGAAATTAATCTCCTCTTTTACTAAATGTGGGGGAGGAACAGCAGATGAGAAAAGGGGCTTTAAGGCCCATTAGCGCTGGCCTTCCGTGGCAGTAGAGGCGTAGGCTGGAGGCACTCACCTTTCACAATCAGCTCCGCGTAGTTGGACACACCAGAACCACCGTCAGAGCGGATCACACAGCGGTACTTGCTGACGCTCCGCTGGGCAGTGTCTGCCACACTGACCGTGGCTGAGAAGCGCCTGTGGTTGACCACGCGGGTGACCATCAGGGCCGTGTCCCTGCCATTCCATTGCTGTAGAACAGAGGAAGAGAGGGAGAGGAGGAATCATAGCATCTTAGACTTCCAGGCGACTCCCAGCACGGATGTCCACCCATCCTCACACCCCAGGGGCTCAGGACTTTCAACTATAAGAAGGGATTTCCAGCCAGGCACAGTGGCTCATGCCCGTAATCCCAGTGCTTTGCAAGGGGCTGAAGCAAGAGGATCATTTGAGGCCAGGGTGTGAGACCAGCCTGGGCAGCAAGCAAGACCCTGAATCTATGAGAAATTTTAAAAAATAGCCAGGCATGGTGGCACTCACCTTCAGTCCCAGATACTCTGGAGGGTGAGGAGGGAGGATCTCCTGAGCCCACAAACCCAAGATTGCAGTGAGCCATGATCAAGCCACTACACTCCAACCTGGGTAACAGAGCAAGGCCCTGCCTCTTTTTTTTTTTTTTTTTTTAAAAAGGTGGGAGTTTTCATGGCTGGTTTGTGCTAATGATCTGATTCAATAATACACTTTGCTAGTGAGCTGATTCGAGGACAGAGGCCTGGTGGTAAGAACAGAGGAAAAAGGCTCCTTCTAAACACCCTGGCTCAGCCTGCATTGGGGACTGGCATGCAGCCCCTTCACTTTCCTTCCTCTTTTCCTTTTTCCCTGAAGCAGAACCCACTGCATTCTCTCAGACAAACTTCAGCAGACTTAGTGAAAACCCAGCCCACATGGAAGAAAAAGAGCCCGGTTCCCAGGCCCTATGGCTGGTGCCCTGCTACCCCACCCCACAGGCTCTGAGCCCCACCTGCCCTAGGCTATCACCACAGGTAGGGAGGGGACGGTAGCTTTCCAACACCCGTCTCCCTCGGCACCTGCTCCTTCCTCTGCCTGGAGGGTCCAGTCTCCCTGAGGACACCCCGTTCCATAAAAACCCACGTTCAGCTCACAGCCATCGCTAGTCAGTTCTCACAACTGTCACACCATCTCTAGAAGCTTATCCTGCCCTTAGGTATGATACAAACTTTCCCCACACGTTTGCTTACAAGTGTTGCTCATTTTACACTGAAGGGCTTTCCTCTGCTCATCTTTAGAAGCTTGTCTGAAAGCCTCCCAAGTTGGTAGACATTTCCAGAATCAAGGTGAATACACATGGGCTTTTGTCTTCAGCATCCTGAGTTTCAGGAGGGATATCCTGAGTTTGAACAAACCTCTTTCACAGCTGCAAGTTACGAGAACTGGTAACGCACATGCATGTCAATGCAGTTTGAGTGGATGTTTATTAACGTTATTAACTGGATGTTTATCTAGTATGTGCCAGCCCCTGGGCTGGGTATTTTTGTATAAATCTTCATTGTATCTTCACAGCCTTGTTTGGGGTTTGTACAACTGCTGTTCTTCTCGGAAGAAAAATCCAAATGTCCAACAGTTTAGCTAAATGCGTAGAGTACATGAGCCCCTTATCCAGGTTTTCCAACTTCAAGTCAAGCACTCTTTTTACTAAGACCGTATTCTCAGCCTGCTTTAATTTAAAAATGTTTTTCCCCAAAAAGTGAAATTGACTACTTTAATTATCTGGACTTAGGGAAACCTTATGACTCATGATTCTCATGCTGAGTCTCCCAGTCTCCCAAGATGCGATCTTCATAGTTTCCTGCACGAAGTAAACAGTTTCCCCATGTGCACATCCTACTTTCATCTATGTCATCTTCCCTCACCCTCTACAGTGACCTGTCAGGAGGAGGGCACAGGTGCAGGTAGAGCCACACTACTCAGCTCTATGGCAGCAAATGAGGGGAGACCAATACCAGGGGGAGGCAGTGATCATGAAGGCCAGAAACCCAGGGTAACCCAGGCCCCCATCAAAGGGCAGCTAGAAGAGACTTGCTACAGATTAGACAGGGAAACTGTAGGCAATATTTTGCTGCTGCTTTTTACTTTTCGACATTCTTCAGACTTTGTCTCAAACATGTATTTCCCTTACACTTGTACATAAAAAAATGAACGGTATTGTTCAAAAGCCATGGCAGAATGAGAGGTAACCATAACTGCCTCCCATGCCAGAAACTAACCGACATGTGGAATAGTTAGTACACATCAGAGCAACAAGCATGGGGCTGTAAGAGGAGAATCTGAAGCCAAGTGCCAGCTCTGCAGCTTCCAAGCTGTGCAGACTTGAGCAGGCAATTTCACTTCTCTGAACTGGAAAGTTTCTATTCACCTGCCCAAATAAAAACCAGTACAAGGTAATGGAAGGCGAGAAAAGTCACCAGGGCTGAAACTGCCAACCAGCTACCTCATGCCTTGAGGCATCTTTGCAGGAGATGGCACAACTTGGACCCCACTATGAGAACATATGACACACCGCATGTAATGTCCCTTCCCAAAGTAGTGCAGGGAGGAAGGAGGAAAAATTCTGGCAAACACCAGGAATGTATCCTGATTTGGAAAAGAGGTCACTAAATGAAAAGAAGGGCCTTGGAAGAAGGGGGGTCATCAAAAGGAGCCCATCTTCCCCACTGCTGAGCAATGCACTTCGGGGCCACCATGGTGGATAAGGATGAGTGAGTGGTGAGGCTTTGGGTCAATATTTTCTAACCTGAGTTATTTACAACATTATAAACATTTTCGTTTTTTTCTTTGTTAAGCTAACAACAGCTAAACACTATTTGTGTGCTAAGTGTTTTATATGCTTTCTCATTTATTCCCCCATGAAAAATAAGGTAGGTGCACTTCTTATCGCTCTCATATATAAGAGGAAACTGAAGCTCAGGGAAGTGAAATTGCCTCCCCAAGGCTGCGCAGCTTGGAAGCTGGAGAGCTGGCATCTGGCTTCAGATCCTACTTTTACAACGCCATGCATGTTACTCCAGTGTGGACTAACCACTGCCCCATCACTCACCTCTTCAAGCACCCTCATTTCTCAGAGTGGGAGAGTATGAGCAGCAGGTATGACACCAGGATCCACCTATTTGCCACCAATTTATTAGCTGAGAACAATAAAAAAGGGTGGGGGATATAGTAATGTTGCATAAGGGGTGGAGAGAAAAAAGCAAAATGCACATGCCCAACCCAAGCTCATGAAACACAGAGCTTTGCCTTGGACGTCCATCTTCTGAATAGCCAAGAAATATGGGAGATTAAAAAAGAGAGACTGAGAATGATATCAACACATGGTCTCCACAGAGCATGAGCTAAGAGATGAGGTGACAAGGATAGGTACTAAGAAAGAAGATACAACTCGGGGAGCCAAGGGAATAATTGAGGAAAACAAACAATGCCATTTGCAGATTTCAACATGGCATTAGAAGTAAAGAGCCGGATCAACATTGCAGAAAACCAGCGACCTAGAGGACAGGCCTGGAAAAATAACCCAGATGGCAAAGAAAGCAAAGATAAAGGAAATCAGTGAGAGGCAAACTGATCAAGAAAATGAACAACAGACAACTAACTACCCTGTAAGTAACTGGAGCTTCCACAGAAGAGAGTGCAATGAATGGAATGAAATCCTATCCCAAGATACAGGAGGTCACTTTCCTGGACTAAACTAAGACCTGACTTTTCAGACTGAATGGCCCACCATCTATTTGATAAAATTTACAAAAACAAAAATAATTGTTTATAAAAATATTAAGAATAAATATATAGAAATCCAGCAGAAGAAAATAATGTACAAAAATACAAGCCCATCTGGTATAAAACTCCTCATATGCAATTGTTTCCAAATCCAAGGTGACCTCTCCTGGATGTGACTGGCCCACCAATGGTCACAGGTGAGCTCCCAGGAGATTCCTGTTACCTAGATGCCTGTAAGAAAACAGGGATGGAGCTAGAGAAAGACAGGATAGGGACTGCTAATAAAACTAATCACGGCAAATGCTTAGTTTGTGCGACCTTCGGTGGGTGATTTCATTTCTCTGAGCTTCAGTTTCCTCATCTACACAAAAGATTTGAAAATGGTGCCCACTATATAAAGTTATTGTGAGGAATAAACGAGAAGGCATGCAAAACAGCACATGAAGCTGTATTCTACTGTTTGCAGAGCTCTAGTGTTAGCAGAGCTGTGAAATTAGCCATAAAAAGTGTGGTAGACAGGCTGACAGCCCCCCAAAGATGCCAATATCCTAGTCCCCAGAACCTGGGAATATGTGACCTTATATGGCAAAAGGGACTGTGAAGATGTGAATAGGTCAAGGAGCCTGAGATGGGGATGTCATTTTGGATTAGCCATCTGAGCCCAATGTCATCAAAAGAGTCCCTATATTCGAAAGAGGGAGGCAGGAGAACCAGAGGCAGAGAAGAAGCTGTGGGACAGGAGAGGTCAGAGTGATGCCATCACTGGCTTGAAGATGGAGGAAGGGGCCGGGAGCCAAGGAATGCAGGCAGCCTCTAGATACAGGGGAAGGTAAGGGAATGGATTCTCCACTAGATGCTCTAATAAGAATGCAGCCTGCCAAAAGCCTGCCAACACCCCCATGTTAGCCCAGTGAAATCCACTTCTGACTTATCTCCACAACTATAAATAAATAAATTTGTTTTGTTATAAGCTATCACACTTGTGGAATTTGTTACAGTAGCAGTAAGAAACTTACATAAAGAGAAAAAGACTGGTTACATGCAAAACATTCATTTTTCACATTTAATTGAAATTTTATTTTCATGTCACCTCCAGGATTATTTACTTTTCTTCTTAATGATGTCAGATTCTAGCAGGGCCAGGGAAGATTAAGGGTGTCCATCTGAACGATTCACATTTTTCAGTTAGCTCCTGAACCAACAGGCTTTATCCTACTGAAAGATAGGAAATTGCAGGTTGTCTTATAAAATGTCTGGAAAATAGGCCTTTTGATAATCACACTTGTCATATTGGGAGCAGGCAACAGCAGGACAGGGACGAGCAGGAGGGCCTAGAGTCATGACAGGAAATAGCGCTGGATGCACCACTGGCAAGAAGAAACAAAGGTCAAGTTCAGAGAGGTGAGCCCAGATGAGAAGGGCCTATGAATGTGACTGTTCAAGACAAGGCAGGGAAGGGCAG